TTATCGTAGTTGGCCCAACGTTTTTTTTTTCCACAAATACAAGACTAATTTAAAATATAGTTGCAAAAAAAAAGTTTTAAATTACAATATGCCACAAAAAATATTAGTTTCAATTTTTTTTTCTCCTTTTCCATTCACACTTCTTTCTTTTTATTTCTCATATTTCTACACTAAGAATGAAAGAAAAAATGAATAAGAATAAGAAACTTAAATAATGATAATTAAAGAAGTTAAAAAATAATTCATGCGTGAAAAAATCATATACCTTCCTACATGAATTTTTAAAATATTAAAAATCAAAGAATAAATTTAAAATTATTTTTTCACATTCTTTAGATGAAAATGATATGTGTATAATTTTTGTAAGGGCATGAGTATATGTGACTGTGAGTCACTTTTGTAATAACAGGGATATTTGTAAGTCACTTTTGTAATGAGTGGTATGTCAGTTATAAATAACAAAGTTGGGGTATATATAGCCTTTTTCCCAGACAACTCTATAAAAAGAAAACGAAGTCAATGAGGTAAATAAAATATATCAAATTTTGTTTTTAAAACTTTTTAGGATAGGTTATTAGTGCCATCTCATTTACAATCTACAATAAATAAATTTCGTAAGTACTGTAAATTAACTACTCGCATCAGTTAAAGAATTGAGCAGACAACAACCTAAATTGTATATGTGATACAATTGCTTCATAACTTTAATACAAAAAAACAAGTAGTAGCAATGTTATGTAAACAGCAAAATCCCCGTTAAACGATATAATATACACCTATACTATTGGCTTTTATAAAATTTTCTTAATAATATATCCAAAAATTACCTAATTACACAAATATTCCTATCATATTTACTAATCTCTCAATAGTTTGAAATAATTACATATTGTCTCATTAATTAATAATGTCATACCAAATTTCAAATCAAATACACTTAGATACCAGGGCCGGCTGAAGCCTAAAGGAAGTAAAGCACTTGTTTTAGGACCCAAGGTTTTTAAGGCCCCAAATCACTAAATTTTAAGAGTATTATATATATATATTGCTCATGAATTCAAAAATTTTCTAAATAAATATTATGTTCGATTCAAAAAAATATTTTTTGTATGTTATACACACTTTTAATTTTAGACAACTATATTATATTTTGTTTGTATGTCTGAAATTTCATGCTGAGTCAAATCAAAACATATAAAATAAAATGAGTGAAGTATATTTAGTCCGTTTTTAAGAATTGACTTTAGGCCACATATTTCGTTGAACCGCCCTTGTTAGATACATGTATTTTTGTTATAAGATACACTGAAATAGGAAGAGAGGTGAGCAAGATAGTCTATGTATCCAGATACATGCAAATCGCATTAGATATATATCTGGGATACTAGATAGGATTATTTGTATATCGACATTCTAATGCAAATATGTAGGGAGATAGGCCAGTGAGAGAGGGAGAGAGATGGGCGAGAGAGGAGAGAGGCGAGCGAAATAGGAAAGAGGTGAGAAAGAATCACATATATATTAATTCACCTGAATATAGTGTATCTGAATAAATTACATCTAATTTTAACCTCATGTATTAGAGATACATGTATCTGGATGCTCCAGATACATGTATTCGAATTCCAAATTTTGATTAGATTCATAAAAATTCACGTGAAGGGAAGTAATTTGCTTCTAAACTATTAAGATTTATGTTGCTTGTCCTTATTTTTTTATTTGGCCCACTAGTTGGCCCGACCCACGTTGCTCATGCCCCACAAACCAACATACTTACTCAGGCCTGACTAAATAACTTTATTCTTAAATAGATTTCAAAATTCTTAACTCAATCATATCAAATCATGATTTGAGTCAAATTGATCCAACAAACCTAGTTTATGTAAGAATATTTGTGTAATTAGGTAGTTTTAAAATTATTATTTGGTATTCAATCACCAAGTCTATCATTCACCAATATTTCAAGTTTGTTATCGTTTATAACTCATTGGGTAGAGTCAATAATATGGATTAAGACGATTTATCCAACCACACCCTAATTATGATTTGATAGAATTAGTCTAAGGCCTTATTTGTTTTCATTAAGATTAAGAGGTCTGAATCTGAATGCACATCTGAATATTAAGATTAAGATGTCAGAATCTGAATGCTTGTTTGAATATTAAGATGTAGTTTCTAGATCTGAACACTAAATCATTAAGATTGTTTGTTTTCTATAGCTCAATGTGCATAATTTATTTATTTTTAAATTAGGAATTAAACATTATATCAGTAAAAGTTATAATCCAAACCAAGAATACTTCTTCCAAAAAATTGTTTAAAAAAAAAGATTATAACCCATCCCAGAAAAAAAATGATTTATTTGTTTTCTCAAATAATTTTTTCTCAAGAAACAATGATAACTTATTCCAAATAAGTTTTGACAACAAACAAATTGTGACAAAAAGAGTTCTTCATAAATATCAATTCACCCAAGAATATTGTATATATTAAAAATATTAGATAAATACTTGTAAAAGATTATGAAAACTTACTTATTCAAAAGAAAAGAAATGGTATTTGATTGGAAAAGGAGAGGAAGAAACTTGAAACTTGTCCAGAAGAGAAGCAAGGAAGAAGATAATTGATTTATGAAAGAACGCTTAGAGTCTGAATGGTATTAAGACTCTGTTATAAATTTGATTCATTAAGACTCATTAAGAGATTTTTAAAAAAAGAAAAAAATGAACTTAATGGAATGAATCTTAATAAGATTCAGACTTAAAAATCAAACACACTTAATGAGCTGAATCTGAATGATTAAGATTCAGACCCCCATTAAGTGCAAACAAATGAGGCTTAAGACTTTTGTGGGCCATTTAAAAACATAATATTTCTTTACTTGCTTATTTTAATATTTGGGAAGTGCTAAATGACCAGAAAGTTTGGCCAAAATTTGATCAGAAAAATAAAAAAACTATAATATTTTTTTTATTTTAAAATAAACTGATCTTTTTTTTATTTTTTAATTAAAATGTATTAAAGTTAGAAAGGGAAAAATATTTAAAAAGATGAAATAACATAGATAAAATATCATTCTGACCAAATTTTCTGGCCAAAAAAATATTTTCTTAATATTTTATTTTATTATTTAGTCCAGGAGCTAACTAGATTCACATTGCTCAAGCTCTTTGGATTAACAAACTTATTATTTAAATGGATTTCAAAAACCTTACTCCAATCTTATCAATTCATTATTTGGACCAGATTAGTCCAACAAATTTAATTTGTGATAAAATTATTTGTGTAGTTTATAGTTTTTTCATTTATCACTGAATACACTATCATTCACCAATGTTTCAAGTCTTTTATTGTTTATAACCCATTGGGTAGAGCCAATAATATGGACTAAGACGGTTGATCCAACCGCACACAAATTATGATTTGACAAAACTCAACTAAATTTGTTGTAGCCCATTTAAAAACATAATATTTTTTTTATTTTTTTTTGAACATTAAAACATATAGTAATGATTACAATGTTACAGCGAAGCCAAACTTGCAAACCATGAAACACTGGGTGCAAGCATTAAATCCTGTTTATTTCTGTAGGGAGAGGTGGTTGCATGAGGAAAACGGCATACTGATGATAGGATTTGAACATCAGAAGGCCTTTCCTCCTTCCCCAATAATATTCTTTTTATTATTGGCTTATTTTAGTATTTTACTTTATTTTGTATTTAATCACGAGTGTAGACGTTGAAATTTTGTGACACTCTACAGGACATGTTCAATTTGAGTTGGGATTCTACAAGGTGTGTTTAATTCCAATTAAATTCTTGGAGGCTACAACCCTAAACCCCTAGTTCATTGCCTATATAAAAGACATTATTTTCTCTTGAAAATACATCTCAAATATTCCATAAAATCATGAAATATTCATAAAAAGATCAAATCTAAATCATCTTAATTTGACAAATACACCACTAACGACCCTTAAATTATGTAAATCAAGTCTAAATCATCCTAAGTCAAGAAATACACCATAAACAACCCTTGAATTATGAATAAATATCTTATGAGAGAAGAATTAAGGGACCACCAGAATTGTACCCGCAATCTTGATAAATCAAATTATGTTTCTTCATTTTTTTTTGTGATTGTAATTTATTTTCTATCACTTTAAAATTTATTGCAAACAACGAGTTAATCCAAATCACATTGATTAAGCCCTGCGAATTAATAAACTTACTCAACCGAGCTAAAAAAACATTAAAATGGGTTTCAAAAATCTTAGTCTAATCTTATATTATTTGGATCAAATAAGTCGAAAAAGCCTAGTTGACAACTCTAAAGTTAATTATTTAGTACTAAAAACTTACAGCCATTATAATTAAATGGCAATTAATTTGCAACTAATAGAGTAATTTGTGAAGGACAAGCAAACACAAATTCCACTAATTTAAGATTTAATTATCCGTCTTTTCAATCTCCAAATACATGTATATATCTATCTTGTACAAATAGATCAAAGTTAAATGTAATTTGGAATGGATAATAATTGTATTAGTATTCAATCACTTTTTAGAGTAGCAATGAAAAAAATCCAAACCATCACTTAGTAATTGCAAAAAGGTTATCTACTTAACATAATCCAAATTAAATTTTGATTTGTATGTAGTATACAATTCAATTGCAATACAAATATCACTTGTATAAAACCAATCCATGTATTAAAATAAAATGAATTTCTTCATTTAAAACAGTTATAAAATCAATCAATCAATCAATCAACAAATGCAAATTAATTTATCTCCATTTAAAAGAAAAAAAAACTTAAAAAAGAAGAATCACTCAGTTCAGCGGGGTACTCGACACGCAAGCAAACTCTAAAAATAGAGAAGCCTGCAATCCGGTCTGTTGAGCTTGAATATTATGGAGTCGTCATCGTGATTCTTCTTAGTAATAAATTAAAGGAAAACAGAAAATAAATCACATTGTCATACGAAGCAAAAGATATAATAAAAGTCACCATCATCATCAGAACAAAAATTATTTTCATTCACAACCATAACTGGTTGTGTCCAAAGGTGTCCTAAGATTGATATGTATATCATCATGTGATTTCTGGTGACAATTAAAATTTGCACAAAGCATGTGTACTTGAATAAAATTGAATATTAGCCTTAAAGATTCAGATGCAATAATGTAATCACGGTATAAAATCAGTCCAAGTGTTGGAATAATAATAATTGCTTCATCATCATCACCATAAAAACAACAACAAAAACTAAAGATCATTCAGTAATGGCAAATTAATTTATTGGTTCGATTCTGCCAGCAACTTTCCTCACCGATATCAGAAGAGGGAGCTTAGATATCCTCATCACGATCTCAATTTCACAAATAAATAAATTAAAAAGAAAAGTCACTCAGTTCAGCGGGGTACTCGACACGCAAACTTACTCTAAGAATAGAGAAGCCTGCAATCCGGTCTGTTGAGCTTGAATTTTATGGAGTCGTCACCGTGACAATAAATTAGCACAAAAACAAAGAGAATTAAACGGCAAATGTACAAACAGATTTTTTTTTAAAAAAAAGTAGATCTGAGGGAGGATTGAAATTACTCAGTAGTGGCTAGTTATTATTGGTTCGATTCTGCCAGCAAGTTTCCTCAGCTTTAACTCAGAAGAGGGAGCTTAAGAATCCTCATAGCAAAATCAACCTCCCCAAAAATTGTTTACAAAAATAGATATAAAAAATGAAAGATGTAAGAAGAGATGGCTCAGGGAAGAAGGAGATCGACATGCAAAGGCATGAGCCCCTGGCAATCCGGTCTGTTGAGCTTGATCTTTTACAGAGTCCTCATAGCGACTCTTCCTTCTACATCAAAGCAAATAAAATTAATGGAAAAAACAGTAAAAGAGGAAAAAGAAGAGAAGTTTGATGTTGCTCACTGAGTGTATGATGGCAGGTAGGTGGGCGGTGACTATCCATTTATAGAGGTTCTGCTAGGGTTTCTAGGTTTTAAGATGGAGAAGCTCTGCGGCTAACCCTATTAGCGAAATGACAGATTCAACCTGGATTTATTGAAATATTACAGAAAATTCTCCTATTTCTCCTCTGGGCTAAGAATATTGATAGTCCAATGGGCTAAGAATTTTGATAGTCCAATAAGTTTTCATGGACAGTGAAATTGTCCGTGTTTTGCGTGGTAATAAAAGAAATTAATAAATTTATATATTTTTATTTTTTATATATAAAAATATATTAATTTTATAAATAGATAATTTCTTATTTAATAACATAATATGTAATATTTTATATTTAGGTTTAGTGTCAGATAAGATAATATTGATATTTCTCTTCATATACTATATGATATGTTTTTTTAAATCTTTTTTCGGTATATAAAATAGAAATTTTGTGCATTATTTTAAGTACAAACTATTCATATGTATATAGTAAAAAAAAATATTTATGATGTGAAGTAAATATAATAAGAAGTCATATTTTGAAATAATTATATATTGTACGTTGAAAATGTTATTTTATATTTTAATTTTCTCTATGTTTTGTAGGAGTGCTTCATTCTACACAAATTCTAATTTCTTTTAAAAATATTGTTGAATTTCTTCATTGTTTCTTTGTTATTATATTATTTTATATGAGTTATAAGTAAGATGAAGAGATATGAGTTATAAATAATTTGAATATGTAATTTTTATTAGTCATTAAAAATATTAATAATTATGTATTAATTTTATTTATAAAAATATTAATAAATAAATGGTGAAAATAGGGAGGGGGAAGGGGGTACTAAAAAAATATGAATAAATGAAGGAGCAATAATTGACACATTTATTTTTGTACAATACTAATAATTAAAGGGGGGGGGGGGGGGGC